TTGAGTACCGCCCTGTCTCAATAATGATATTATGTTCTCGTGTTTGGCAACAACAGATATAATCCGCCTTATCCGTTCATCGCATCGGAAACAAAAAAGCGAAAGAATTTGGAACGATCTTTTTACAATTATTTTCTTCAGTTGTATACAGTCAGTATCAGTCGGTAGTCGGTAACGCGTAAGTGAATAATCGTATCTGTTGCGAGGCTCAAATCAAAAATGGCACATGTTTACGAAAATGCTGAACTTGTGGACATGGTTCTTATTTACGGGGAGTCTTTACAAAATGCTGCCGCGGCATCACGGATCTATGCGGATCGGTTTCCCAATCGAGTGCAACCAACCCCTCGTGCCTTTGTTAATGTAGTGCAAAGAGCTCGTGAATCAGGTGACTTAAGACCTCACAGAGGAGATCATGCCGGTGCTCCAAGACCACACGATCAAATAGAACTAGAAGAACAAATTTTAAAATTAGTAAGTGATGATCCAACAGTAAGCACCCGACAAATTTCAACTCAATTGGCGATTAGTCAGTATAAAACTTGGAAAACTCTACGTGAAAATCAGTTCTATCCGTTTCACATACAAAAAGTGCAGGCCTTAAAACCGGAAGATCATGAACAAAGGGTTGACTTTTGCAATTGGCTTTTAAATAAACATCAAAATGATGACAATTTTTTAAATCAAATTTTAGTGAGTGATGAAGCCCTCTTTACTAGAAACGGAATTATTAATTCACGTAATTCTCACGTTTGGGCTATTGAAAATCCCCATGAAATAAGGGAAACCAATTTTCAACAGCGATTTGAACCAATCAACCTGTGGGCGGGAATTGTTAATGGAATTTTAGTGGGGCCTTTTGAATTACCAAATCGCTTAACTGGTGAAAATTATTTTGATTTCTTGCAACACAATTTGACTGGTTTACTGGAAGATGTGCCTTTAAATATTAGACAAAACATGTGGTTTTTACAAGATGGGGCACCACCCCATTATGCAAGAAATGTGCGTGAATTTTTAAATAGACAATTTAATAATCGTTGGATCGGCCGTGGCGGTTTTGTACCTTGGCCGCCAAGGTCTCCGGACTTAAATCCTTTAGACTTTTGTTTGTGGGGTTGGCTAAAAACTCTAGTGTATAAAACACCGGTTAATACACGCGAAGAATTACGTGCTCGAATTGAGGAAATGAGTACAGTGATCAGAAATCAACCAGTGATTTTATTGCGTGCTTGTAAAGAGACATGGCTAAGACGCGCCCAGCTGTGCGTCGAGCAAAACGGAAATCGTTTTTGTGACATGCTTTTGGGCGCACAGGTCCGCACTGAAATACTTGTCGGGAGGATACTTTATAAAACAAGGTAACATTTTTTTTTTAATTTTTTTTTATTTTTACACAGGGTGACTTTGAAGTTGAGTCATTAATTTTCAGATAATGATTGTAGAAGGAAGATAAACCAAAATATGTGTGTAAAAATGAAAAAAAAAATAAAAAAAAATTTTTACCTTGTTTTATAAAGTATCCTCCCGACAAGTATTTCAGTGCGGACCTGTATTTGATCGTGAGGTCCCCTCTGAGGTCTTAAGTCACCTGATTCACGAGCCCGTTGTACTACATTAACAAAGGCACGAGGGGTTGGTTGCACTCGATTGGGAAACCGATCCGCATAAACATGTGCCATTTTTTATTTCGTTTGAGCCACGCAACAGATACCACCATTCACTGTCACTGACTGTATACAAATGAATGAGATACTTGTAAAAACATCGTTCCAAATTCTTTCGCTTTTTTGTTTCCGATGCGATGAACCGATACGGCGGATTATATCCGTTGTCGCCAAACACGACCACATAATATTGTTATTGAGACAGGGCGGTACTCAAACTTCCAAAGGGCTATAACTTTGTTACTTTAATTTTACCAGGAAAATGGTAAAGGAAAAAAACATTTCTTTTGATCAGATCTACTCACTGTTAAAATAAATGACTCAACTTCGAAGTCACCCTGTATATATATATATATATATATGTGACATTTTAGAACACTGAAAAATTAAAATATCATTGGTATATATAACATAAATATTTGAGCACTGCTTTGGAACTGTTAAATGGTTAATTAAAAAAATATGAATTAGTTAAATGTTAATTAACCTGAATTAAACAACAGTAGAACAAAATGTATGCAAATAGGAAAACATTTAGGTGAAAATACAATTAGGCTCCTCATGAATAATGATGAAAAAAATTAAGTAGTCGAGTCATTAAAATATCTGGGTATATCTGGTGAATATACCCTATTCGTAGTCCACTTACGCCTCGGCACAACAAAGATGCAGCGCGGCAAAGCGGCAGCCGCCTAAGCGTTGCAATAGCTATTGGTCATTCGGCCATAGAACTACGAACAAGTGCAGGATTCGACAGGATACAACTCAGGCTCGGGGTATCGCGGGCACGCCGACGCCGGTAGTTGCTGTTCATATTCGGTGGTTACATAGCGTGTGTTTATACGTTAGCCTGTCGTCTACGAGTATAGCAGATGAAACTGAGAATATTTCTCCCAATGCTTCTTTCAGTCATGCTTCCTCTTCAGTGATGTCTCCTCCCCGAAAACGTGACAAGAAGGGACATTTGAATATTCAGGCAAATTGTCCTTAACATTTATAAGAGCGAAATCTTAGAGCATCCTGAAATTAACATTCATAATATTTATTGAAAGACGTGTGGCGAACAAAACAGGCTTCTGTTCACACAATTATCAACATTGTTAAAGAATATAAAAAAAAACAAAAAATGTCTCCACCGCACAAGAGGCTGCATTACACGAAGCTGTTGGATACAGTTGATAACTTTGATCGGAATGCCATCAGACGCAAAATCCATCAATTTTTTGAAAGTCAGGCACTTCCCACCATAAACAAAGTATTACAGGTTAATAGTGATGAAGACTTACCTACTTTCAAAAGGACCACATTCTATAGTTTACTGAAAGAACTTCATTTTGAGTATAGAAAACGGGGCAGAAATAATATTTTGATGGACAGCCAAGACATTTTATGGAAAAGAAATTATTTAAAATCAATAAAGAAATACTGTGACCAGGGCAGGAAGATTTATTACTTGGATGAAACCTGGACATACAAAACCTAAAGTATGGGCTGACTCTACAATTAAATCAGCAAGACAAGCTTTCTTAGATGAACTAACCACTGGCATAAAGGATACGTCAGGTACGCGTATCTAACCAGTTCGTCATTTGTGTTGTAAAAATGGTGTCTAGTAGACTGAATCTATGAACCAACGCTGAAAACTTAGCTACACTAAACTTAGATATATCTGGTAGATTTGGAACCAACACCTGTTAGATACTCTGCTTGTATTATTATTAGTATTCTTGAATATATACTATATGAAATAATTATTTCCAGGAAAAGGAAAACGATTTATCTGTCACACTGGCAGTGAAGATGGCTTTGTACCCACTGTCCTATGGGCATTTGAATCAAAGAAAACGACCGACTACCATGAAGAAATGGACGGAAGTTCATTTAAACGATGGTTTGAAGAAACGCTCCCAAAGCTTGACGACAATGCCGTCATTGTACTTGATAATGCTGCATACCACACTAGAAAACTAGAAAAAATTCCCATAATGTCCACAAGAAAGGCAGAAATTCAACAATGGCTCCTATCAAAAGACATTAGTTTCAATAAAAATATGGTCAAAGCAGAACTTATCTTTTTAGTCAGGCAGCACAAATATAAATATAATCTTAATGTTATTGACGAAATGGCTGAAAACCAAAATAAGACCGTTTTAAGGCCATTGAAATGATTTATTAAAAACTATGTTGCTTCAAACAATAGAACATTCAAATTTTCTGACGTGAAAAATTTGTTTTATGAAGCTCTCATCAGAGTGGTGGAAAACCATTGGAAAGATTGCATCCGTCACGTTCAAGAGACAATCGAAACAGAGATGTGGGATCTGGACAATATGATTGATATTCAAATTGAACCTGTAATAATTAATATTAACCATTCGGGCGATGATTCAAATACTTCCAGCGAATAAAGAATTGTGAAAAGTGTTTGCTCTCCTTTCTATAAAGATAATCATTTATTTTGTTAGATTATTCCAAGCCCATTGAGGAAAATACGGACCTGTACAATCTCGCTTTTGGGCATGTTGTTTTTTGTCTAGTCGTAAATGGACTACGAATGGGGTATAGTTTCAAGAGCATTATGAATATGTTATTTAAAAAATATCAAAAATGATAAATTACTTCTATACGGTATTCCCCAAAGTCTCAGTATGTATTCCAGAAAAAAAATTGTATATAACACCATAATTCGTCCCCATTTTTTATATTGTTCAGCAATTTTATTCACAGCAAATGAAAACATGTTTTCAAAATTACAAATTCTACAAAATAAACCAATGAGAATCATTTCAAATAAAAACAAATATGATATGTTAGAAGAACTGCAGCGGTTGAATGTAAAAAATATGTTATTTTGTTCTAATGTTCATACTCAAATTAAAAAATTATTTAGTACCACCACATTTAGAAAACTTCACAAAATTAAATAGTGATTCTCATAACTACGGAACTAGAGGCAGTATAGATTTACATCTGTAAAATTGTAATAGTAGCATAACTCGCAAATCTGTATTCCAAAAGGGAGTATTTGAATTTAACAAATTGAGTGAAGATATTAAACAGTGCTCATATTTAAAAATGTTTAAGGTGAAATTAAAAAATCACTTGATGAATACCCAAAGTGCATAGCAATGTAATTTTAATAGACAAGAATGTAAAATTACAGAAAATCTATTCAAAAACTGCGTAAAGGAATGCTTATACAAAATTGCCATCTTTACAAACGAGCGATATTTTGAAAGATCTCGGTGAAGTGATGTTTTTCTCACTTTTGTCTGATACTACAATGAATTGGTATCACTTTAAAATGCAAATTTTCAGACTGGCAAATGTTACCTGTGTTCTAGCAGCATGTCTCTCAAAACCTTCCCAGCAGTCTCTTGATCACTAAATTTACCATGAGGGTATATGACATTGTAGTTAAGCACCAATCCCGTCTGTGAGATGACAGCCATTTTACATCCACCTACAAATCCTGGGTCAATACCCAATATTACTTGCCCCTTCAAAGGGGGCTCCTTCAGTAAGTGTTTTAGATTTTCACTGAAGACATCATATGATGCTTTGTCTGCTTTGTTTTTTAGTTCTGTACGGATCTCGCGCGTTATCAAAGGTTTTACTGAAAAAGAAAACAAAAAATATTTATTAAACTCCACGTGTTTCTGGCTGAATTAAACCACATGGAAAGACTCTTTGCTAACGTTTTGGCTACCTAGGTGCCCTTTTTCAAAGTATAAATAAAAATGATATTGACAATATATGTATTCCAGGCGGAACTTAATTTGTGTTTTTGCTGCTGAAAACCACAAGTTTCTAATGTTAGATTAAAAAGGCATTGACTTTTCAATTAAGTTTTGCTGAAGACTAAACTAAAAGCTGTTTGACCTTAAATCGGTATTTGAGGTCAAATACATTAAAAACATACTTTATTTTTTAAGGAAAGTAATATCACCTAATCTATTGTAAGAGTCCTTGATAGCCTCGTTCAAAAGGTTATTTCTGAGCTCATTGTAGGGGCCTTGCTTAATCCACTTCCTATAGCAAAACTGCTGGAATTTAATAAATAGAGATTCAGGAATAGCAATTTTAACTGCGAGAAACTTTAGTTTTTCCCCTCTATTTATTGCCAAAACCTGTGGAATAAGAAAAAAGTTAATAAATATCGTAAACTGCGACATTCATGTATAGTATACAGCGTATCGCATCGGGAACTCCATCGATAGATTTCTCGAAAAGTAGGCATATGATATTTTTGAAAATGTGGGAGCATACTAATGTCAATGGAGAAACGGCAGCTAAAATATTTTCAAGATAGTGGCACTTCCGGTTATGCCGGAAGTTGATGCCAACTTGCTCATTTTGAATTGAACAATTACTCAATATTCGGATGATACATACAATTCAATCACATTTAATGTATAATCTCCTATACCCAAGTCTAACCATTTTTGACATATTTCAAATTTCAAAAATGACGTTTGCAGGCCCTAAAATAATTCGTTCGTTTCCCTTATTGTTCAATGTGGATTGATTTTCTGGCAAACTGGGATATAGTTTAATAGACTTTGTATGATATTTCGATAATTATTTATACAGGGTGGTTAAAAGATTAGTATAAAAATTGAATGTCAAAAATTGCAAAAAAGTCGATTTTTTCAAATGAAAACCTCCTATTTTTATAAGTTTATCGTATCAAGCATTTAAAATTAGCGTAACTTTATACAGGGTTATTTATCCTAAACATGGTTACTTTTCAAGTAATTTGCAATTTATTACTTTTCTATTGTAAAAACTCGTATAAGTACAGATCTAGTTTTTTAATTAGTTGGCTATGACGGCGGGACGCGGAGAACAAACAATTGCGCTCTACAAAAACGTCAATTTATAATAATGTTCTGCATTTGGCAGTTTATTTATAAATTATTAATAATAATCATGCCCGCGCGTTTAAATTTCACTTACGAGGACTATTTCAATTTATTTATTATTTATGTTGAATGCAACAGAGTGATATCAAGTACATGTGATGTGTGTTGCTACAGATATCCAGAAAAAAGAAGACCGGACATACGGCTAAACGAGCAATAGAAAATTTCAAAAATTTCGGTTGTGTGAAGCATAAGATTCAACGGAATAAACCTTTAGTTAACGATGAAGCCATTGAAATAGCAGTTTTGGGGTATTTTTATGCTTTTCCAATGATGTCTTTACGACAAGCTGCAGGTTCTAGAAGAAGGTATCTTGAGTGGCTTTGAAGAAGATATGTTTTATAGGAAACCAACTAACGGAGAAAAACTACAGAGTTTTTTGCTGATCGTCAACACCACACTGAATCGTGAAAATGAAAGATATAATACGAGTGAAATTATACAATCAATAAACTATTAAATTTGCCAAAAGAAAATCATTGAAAAGGGTTTGGCCTAGGAATGGGCACTCTATTATCAATGAAGATAAATTCAAATTATGGATAAGTGATAAATAGTAAAAAAAAGAGTTACGTGATTTTGGCTTGTGACAGCAATATTAGTACTAGTTTATCTCAGTTAAAAATATTTAGATATTAAAGAAAACGTTATGCAGTTATAAAAATTATTATTATTAATACCCAATAATATTTTTAGGTGAAGGTTATTTGAACATTCTTCATTTGCTTTACCACTTGCTGATCGTCGAAATGTATTCTATCAAAATGACGGTGCCCCACCCCACAACAGATACTTGATAAACAATTTCTTAGAAGCTACGTTTTACGATCAATGGTTTGACCATTCAAGTGGCCGCCCCGTTCGCCAGATCTAACAGTCTTGGACTACTTTATATGGGGCACAATAAAAAATATTGTTTACCAGAACCCACTGACCAATCTAGATGACTGTAAGCAGACAGTAAGAAATACATTTGCTAGTTTGAGTCCGGAAATCATAAGAATTGCCACTCATCAGGAGTTAATACGTAGATGTTTTAAATTTTTGGAAGTTAGGGGTGGTCATTTTGAAGATTTATCAAAATAAGCTGTTTGTTGTTATATTTTAATTTTGTTTTATAATAGTATGAAAGTTAAATATAAATCGAAATCGAAATAGCTTATTGTTTCCTGTTATTTATTTCACTGTATTTGTGCTTGTTTGGAAATCTACTAGCAAACCAAGTGCCACCACCTTGAAAATATTTTAGCTGCTGTTGCTTCATCGACATTAGTATACTCCCAAATTTTCAAAAATATCATACGCCTACTTTTCTAAAAATCGATCGATGCGAGACCCTGAATATAAAATTTTACAATTAGAGTTATGATGTTACCTGATATGGTTTTGCATATCTCACTGGTATCTGGAAATCAAAATAAGTCTCAAATTTACTTTCATCAGCGTTTTTGATTGGGAGCTTTTGAAAATTTTTGTCCGTAGACCTTACTGTTTGTTTCGTCTTTGACTTCTTTGATTCTAACACGATACGTTCCTTGTAACGCCTAAAATTAAGGCCCTTAATAACTCTAAGCAATATAATTTATGTAACTATATGCAATTTTGGTACAGTGTATCCGTAGAGATGGAGATGTTTGAAATAATATATGTGATGAAGAGTATGCTCATTTTAACAATGTTATAATGTTGAAATATCAAAACATATAACAAAATATGAATGTAAAAACACTCACAGTTCTCTAATGTAGGTTAACATTTCACTATCAACTGCTATATTGTATGCAATTATATGGACGATACCACTCTCAATTTCTTTAATATCATGATCTTTTGTTACATATCGTTGCAAATTGACAACTCCGGTGTTTTGTAGAAGTTTTAATGCTGGTTCCTCTAAGCCAAGTTCTTTAGCCCTCTCAGCAAGTGTACCTTTTCTATCCTGCTTGTAAGGTGCGTACTGAAAATATAGAAGTAGATGCCCATTAATAAAGGACGCTAGCTGTATTATTTCAGAAACCATTCAACCTTGAGGTTTTAGTTAAACATTTTTATAACAAAAGTGGCTAACAGAAATTGTTGGAAATTATTTTCAGTTTGCTAAAATGGCCCCTAGGTGCATAACTTTAACCTCAAAATCAGAAATGCCGAAAACATGAATAATGAGAGTGCGCCGATAGTAACGCGGCATGCCGCAGCTGCCTCGTCACTCGGGTTGTTAGGCAACGTGGTGCTTCTATCTCTTTCTAACACACGTATTGCACGCCTCTCTCTCGAACACATTACGTCAGTGGTATTCGGATTTCACTGTATATCTAAAATAGCTTCATTCGTTAGTATTCATGTTTTGTTGACATCGTTTTTCTATAACTCCATTGTTTTAGGTACCGGGATGGGTCCAAGGTCACATCTTAAAAAGTAGAGTATCTTCTGATTGGCTAATTAGCTTTATTGACTATGCAAGTCAACCTTGGTCTTGGTTTCATGCGCATTTTTAACTAAGGTTAGGTTTTGTTAGATTAGGTTGTTTTTTATACGTTTGGTGGCGCTCATTGAGGACATCGGTACTTTTCTGTTTTTTTTTGATATCTTAAAATATGATGGGATAATTATTTTTTATTATTCACTAAGTCGATGAAGAATCCTACGAACCAGTGAAAACCGCATGTCGTTATCTATATTTGGTATAACTAATGACTAAAAATATTATTCAAAGTTTTAGTGTTTAGCTGGATTAAGCAAAGCATTGAAGCCATGCTAGTCGTACGAAATGAATTATTTAAATACGTTTTCAATATATAACGCTTTAAAAGTCATTTTCGCGCTTTAATCATGGCTGCTAGAGGACGTAATTCTAACCCGGAGATGAAACAAATATTTTTGCGACTATTTCGGTAAGTCACATATGTGCAGAATAGCTTGGCTTCGATTCAATGATATTTAATTACGCAAACAAAAGAACAAATCAGAATACTGAAAATATCAAAGCTATTCAGATCGGTTTACAAGTTAATTTCGAGATGCCACTTGGAGATGGACCAGCTTCTGATATTCCTACTGTGGATTCTTAGTCTATATTAATGATTTTGGCATTTTGCTCCTATAAATTATATTTTTGTTTCTGTTGTCATGGTTCACTAGATATTGTTTTATGGCTCTCTCGAAAGGCTTTCTCCAATGGAAGTTAAATTTAAAAATCGACGTAACAAAAGCGAAAACTTCACGACCTTACAAAATCGAACATTAGGCATCAACTCAACTTCAAAGAATTTCGGTAGAGAAAACATATTCTGAACAAATCATTCTTGATTTCTTTATGTATTCAAGCCAAGCTATTTTGATCATGCGCGAATTACTGAAATTGACACAAAAAATATTATTTTTTTAATTTTTTATTATAATTATGCCCACAAGTGGCCATGAATAGAGTGTGAAAATGAGTTTTAAGGCATAATATACTAAGTGACATATAAAATGCAACACCCAGAATTATTTATTCAATTTTGATAAAAACATATTTGCTATCATGGAAGTATACGCTGATAAAATGTTGAAGGCATTCCGAGCCGTACTTTTTTTTGTTTAACAAAAGGTTTTTTTTGTTACATCAGGATCCGAACAATATGAACATGTTTACTTAATTTTCAATGATTTGTATGTGTTGGTTCCATTTGTTTCATTGCATTATCGTGCCTAGAGTTCGCAGACGTGCTAATTTCACTCAACTTTCCGAGTTTGAGAGGGGTCGAATAATTGGGTTATGTGAAGCCGGATTTTCTTTTGGAGAAATCGCTAAAAGGGTGAATCGAAATGAAGCTACTGTAATGAGATGTTGTCGCGCGTGTTCCCAAGAAGGCCGAAATCGTCGAGGTACTGGATGTCAAAGACAGACTTCAGAGCGACATGATCCTTATTTGAGGCAACTAGCACTCAGAGATCCATTTTCTGCAACAAGGGCAGTTGCGAACCAGTAGTTTGACGCTGTCGGAAGGGCAATAACAATGAGTACAGTTTATCATTGAATAAGGTCAGCCGTGTTCCAGATTATGTTTGGGCACAGATGATGGCCGTGCAAGAGTAAGGAGGAGACGTAAGGATTTTATGATACCGGGTGCCATTGTATGTATAGCATAACTGCCCAGCGCTATATCCATAAAGTTTTAGAACCAAATATTATGCTTCCCTTTTTGGAAACATTGCAAGACAGCAGGACAATGCACGACCTCATGGGACATGATGGGAAGAAGGTTGCAGGATCTATCGCACCGTCCACAAACATTGGAGGCTCTACAAAACCTAATTCAGATGGCCGGGGATACAATACATCAAGAATACGTCAATCATCTAATTCAATCAATGCCGCGACGACTTAAAGAATATGTAGCGAACAGAGGAACTTCAACACGTTATTAACATTAACCCGCGTTCATTATTAATGGCCCGCCCGGTATTTCTCTTTCATCCAATTTTTTCTTATAACTATATACGGCGCACCCAGTACACTGAAAAATGACTAGAAAAATTGTTGATACAGACGACATAAAAATGATAACGAACTTCAAAAATGTACAAGAGGTATATTGGTCATTGTAAGAATACTGAGTGCTTTCATATCCCTTATTTACAAAAAAAAATTAGTATATATACTCGTAATTAAAGGTTTGAATATTTTCTTATGTTAAGTGTTTAGTTAATGACAGTATGTTAATCTTATGGGAAAAAGTCTGCATACCATTTTTTCTGTTATAAGACCTGTTTGTTTGTCGTTCCCGCGAATGTCCTTAGCCTGACAACAAATCCTAATGTACCAGAAATAAAGCTGAACGCTAAAATAGATTTTAACAAACATATTTTGTCCAATCGGCAAATACTTATCCTTTATCAGGGAATTAATTGATTATACAAGTTGAGAATACCTGAATTATATATTTTTGAGGTTTGTCCCTTGAAAATCTCGTCATTCCGGGTCGGTCATTTTCTCGACGATTTTATAAAATCTAACCTTGTGTATATGAAAGTTCAACAATGCCGTTTCTTCGGTTAAAGCCGGTATAAGTATAACCGTCGTTGGGACATATTCATGCTTTCAAGCAAGTTGTAACCTGATTGATTCATCATTACTATGGGAAGTGAAAAGTAATTTTAGTGATTGTAATTTCTTCAAGCAATGACCTTCAAATAAAATTTCCCTGTCACACACGCAAAAATTAATTGAATATGTGTTGTCTTAATATTTTAATAGGTAAATTTGCTCAATATGTCATTCTCGTATAGTCATTCCCGTGTAATTTTTTTAAAGGAATGGCATGCTTGACAGGAGACAAAAAATCGAAAATTCAGTTTCATATCAAATTTACTCTCGGGGCACACGAACGGACTAAAGAAATCGAGGGAGTAAATTTTAAGAGAAAAAAGAGCATGAGCGGGAAAGATGAAAAATAATACGAGAAGTTAAAAGCCAGGAACAGAAAACGAAGAATAGGGAAAACTTTTTAATACATAATGATATGTAAAAAACCTTTGGACAATTCAAATAATTCAAATCAAGCACAAGTGGAGAAGTTTTTATTGGAATTAAATAAGTCTTCCGTTTCATCTGTTGCATAAAACTAGCCGGCAAACATGGATGTATGTACTTGTAATCCGCTAGGTGACACCTCAGGTATTAAACCCTGCATTAAACCATAGCTCCTCCTAAATCGAACATACTGCTCAGCAGAGCACCAGTATTAGCGATGGCCGCATGACGAGGCGTTGTCTTCGTCCGTACCGACAAAGGGTAGAGTTGTACCGGCTTTACCCCGCCGCAGGGGGTCTTTTATTGGGCCCTGGCATCGAGCACAGAATAATTCGGCCTGCGGCTAGCATTGTTACTCGACGACGTAATGTTTCGCCATCTGTTCCAAATTCTTTTTTAACGAAATACAGGATAATTTTTGCCAAAACTATAAAATAGTGAACGTGAAGCGATTTCAATTATATTTTGCACAATATTAGAAGTGATTAGGCGTAATTTAAAACTGATAAGAAAATTAAAAGGTCCAGGACCAGAATTTGATTTTGTTAAAATCAAGTTTCTTTGTACAGAAATATCCAGTTGATGGTACTTTAAGCGAAAGTTTATTTGAACTGCGCCTTACTTAGTTTTTTTTTAAAATATTTTTCACACGTGAGTTTATTTAGATGAGAAATCAATATTTATCGAAGTATTGATCAGAGTCGGACAAGTTTTAACTATTTCCTCAATTTCCTTGGTAAACAAAGTGATCTAATATTTAAAAAATTCAGGGCCTTACTGTTTTTTTTTTGTTTACACTGTACCTTGATCGACACATTGCAACTTCAAAATAAGTTATTTTTGCATTATCGAGCGTAATTTAAATTAATAATATGTAAAAAGTATGGCTTAGAATCAATTTTTGGTTTGTCAATAATCATTTAAATTGGTTTGCTATGGTCTGGTGTATTAAATTCCATAGTTTTGTATCTGGACAAATCGTAAATTTGCAAAAAATGAATATAGGGCTTCTTTATTTCCAGTATGATAAGGCTTTGGTCCATACCGCCCACCATTTCGCTATGTCCAGTTAATTATGGCGGAAATACTATAGGTTAGCTCTCGGTACATTGGTAGGGTCAATAGATTTTTTGAAATGATTCGATTTTTTTATGTTGGAGTGTCGATGGACGTTAAAACTAAAATAAGACAAAATCTGAAGATTTCTATTGGGATATTTTTCAAACCATTGACGCTACTAAGATCTTATTCTATGGCTGTGAGAGGTAAAGTCAGTCGGCAATGGGCAGATTAAATAGCACAAACATTTGTGTGTAAAGCATTTTCACGGAGTTACGCAATTTTTTTTTCGAAGCAGCTGCGCAGGCAGAACCCGATTTTTGAACTGCCTAAGGTTAGTAGAACTGGGAAAAACTTCCTGTTGTAGATTGTTCCACAATCTC